GTGTATGTAGGAGGAAGAAACATTGGTGTATGCAGGAGGACGATACATTGGTGTATATAGGAGGAAGATACATTAGTGTATATAGGATGGAGATACATTGGTGTATATAGGAGGGAGATACATTGGTGTATGCAGAAGGAAGATACATTGGTGTATGCAGGAGGAAGATACATTGGTGTATGTAGGAGGAAGATACATTGGTGTATATAGGATGGAGATACATTGGTGTATGTAGGAGGAAGATACATTGGTGTATGCAGGAGGAAGATACATTGGTGTATGTAGAAGGAAGATACATTGGTGTATGCAGGAGGAAGACACATTGGTGTATGTAGGAGGAAGATACATTGGTGTATGTAGAAGGAAGATACATTGGTGTATGCAGGAGGAAGATACATTGGTGTATGTAGGATGAAGATGCATTGGTGTATGCAGAAGGAAGATACATTGGTGTATGTAGGAGGAAGATACATTGGTGTATGCAGGAGGAAGATACATTGGTGTATGTAGAAGGAAGATACACTGGTGTATGCAGGAGGACGATACATTGGTGTAAATAGGAGGGAGATACATTGGTGTTTGTAGGAGGAAGAAACATTGGTGTATGTAGGAGAAAGACACATTGGTGTATATAGGAGGAAGATACATGGTGTATTTAGGAGGAAGACACTTTGGTGTATGCATGAGGAAGATACATTGGTGTATATAGGAGGAAGATACATTGGTGTATGTAGGAGAAATATATATTGGTGTATGCATGAGGAAGATACGTGGTGTATGTAGGAGGAAGATACATTGATGTATGCAGGAGGAAGACACATTGGTGTATATAGGAGGAAGATACATTGGTGTATATAGGAGGAAGATACATTGGTGTATGTAGGAGGAAGATACATTGGTGTATATAGGAGGAAGATACATTGGTGTATGTAGGAGGAAGATATATTGGTGTATGCATGAGGAAGATACGTGGGTGTATGCAGTAAGAAGATACGTGGGTGTATGGAGTAGGAAGATACATTGGTTTATGCAGGAGGAAGATACGTGGGTGTATGTCGGAGGAATACACATTGGTGTATGTAGGAGGAAGATACATTGGTGTATGCATGGGGAAGATACGTGGGTGGGTGCAGGAGGAAGATACATTGGTGTATGTAGGAGGATAATACATTGGTGTATATAGGAGGAAGATACATTGGTGTATGTAGGAGGATAATACATTGGTGTATATAGGAGGAAGATACATTGGTGTATGTATGAGAAAGAGAAACATGGTGTATATAGGAGGACGATACATTGGTGTATGTAGGAGGAAGATACATTGGTGTATGTAGGAGGAAGACACATTGGTGTATGTAGGAGGAAGATACATTGGTGTATATAGGAGGAAGATACATTGGTGTATGTATGAGGAAGATACATGGTGTATGTAGGAGGAAGACACATTGGTGTATATGGGAGGACGATACATTGGTGTATGTAGGAGGAAGATACATTGGTGTATGTAGGAGGAAGACACATTGGTGTATGTAGGAGGAAGATACATGGTGTATGCAGGAGGAAGATACATTGGTGTATGCAGGAGGACGATACATTGGTGTATGCAGGAGGAAGATACATTGGTGTATGCAGGAGGAAGATACATTGGTGTATGCAGGAGGAAGATCCAGTTAAGATCCGGCTTAGAATTTATTTAGAAACCTTTGCTGGTCGCAAGACGCGGTGAACGGAAACGGTGTACAGGATCACCGTCTTGGTTGGTGCATGTCATCGTAGCCAAACTGCGTATAGATCAATGCTCACTATGTCAAAACTGGATCGTCTGGTTCAGACTGGATAATTTACAGACCGCCGCCATGTAGCTGGAATATGTTGAGTGCCGTGTTAAACATGTGGGTTTATTGAGAAACAACGTGCTTGTTTATCTATTTTATTCACATTTGCTGCAACTGCCAATTGGCTCGAAACCAGTCTCCCTTTAAGACGCCCCTTACGACCAGCATAAGTTACTGGGGGCCTATTCCAGAACTCACAGGTAGCACTATTTACCATGAAACGTTGATGCATGGAGAAGACACCAAATGTCGAGTTATTTCAAGAAAAGAGCAGGCAGGCATTAAGAAACAGGAAGCACGTATTTCGTTTCCATATTGAACAGCAGTGCTACTGTCTGCTCTCCGACCACAAATCGATCATAGACATACCCACAGTGCTTTTTAATACAACTGAATGCACAAAAACTCTCATTTTGGGACGTATCTCCGGACAAGGAATCTGACAGATCAAACAAAAAAGTCACTTACAGACCAGATGTTCTTCTAACGATCCCTTACATTTTTATTTAAATTTTCAAAAGCTGTTATCCGTTATAACCCCAAAAACTTAATTCTATCTTATTCTCGATCAACCCTTTTTGTTCCTTTTTAAATCCATGTCGCCATGGAAACGGAAATGTGATATCTGTTGATCGCTCCGGCCCGAACACGAAAAATAGAAGGCAACCGTACCATTTATTTGGGAAAATAAATATGCAAACAGTTATTATTTGATACAGCTGGATGGGAAGAAGGGAATGGATGATGTTAAACGCCAGCAAAAGTGTTGCATATTCACGGGAGGCAGTTATAAAATTCGAGTTTTAACTCGACAACCAAGTGATTGGAACCAAGATCGGGGCAGTCCGATCCTGACTACTTTGTCCGCACCAGGGAAAGCGCGCTGTACTGGGGACCAGTGATCGATAACACGGGCATCGACCAAGAGCGACTGTATATCCAGGCATATCATTAATCTCACGTTGCTTGTGCAGTCACACGATTCGCATGTCGGTCTTCTCCCACGACATAATCCTTTCTAGATCTCCGCGGAGTATATTCAATTAGATCAAGGTCTGTCTAAAACAAAAGATCAAGGCATGAAGAAACCCACAGCGTCTCTTCAATTTATTATGTACTTGTTATGAACTTTATTGAATGTGTCCATATAAATGAAAACTGTTCCTTTTTCTTTCCAGCAACTTTGTGTTTATTTGGGACTTACAGCAACACTACAAGTTGTTTTCTTATATTTGAACATCAACAAGTCTTTAGCCAACCTCATTTTTGTGAGATACTGAAAAAAAGTACAAACATATGGTCTAAAATTTATTTCGGATAAAAGACTTGCTCACAAAAAATGCAAGCGTTCGTCTTTTTTTCACTACTCTTTTTTAATGTTTATACTAGATCTGGTCAAAAATAAAAGACTATAAACGTAAGAAAGAAAAAAAATAGTCCGCCAATGGCCCTTATCTACCTAGTACAGGTATTTGGCATCCCATGCTTGCCGTACGAGGCGACTAACGGGATCGGGTGGTCAGGCTCGCAGACTTGGTTAGTGAATGGCATCATATCCCAAATGCGTACTCCGATGCTCATGATGTCAATCACTGGATTTTCTGGCCCAGACTTGATTTATTAAAGACCACTGTCATAAAGTGCGGTGTTTGTTAAACAACAAACAAACAATATTTGAACACAAACAATACGTATACAATGGAATCAAGGGACAGTTTCAGGAATTTTAAAAATGCTGCCCCGTGAAGAGAACCCTTTCTTCTAGGTCGTCCTCTTAACGACCCAGTCTTGAGACGTGTGAGCGATGCATCACACCACTGTAGGTGTTAAAAGCCATGTACACTGCCTACTGTAGCGCTTTGAACTGGACAGGTCAATATGTTTCCGCGGACTCCAGGCTTCAGTTTTCATTACTCACAATACGGGCACGGTCGTTAATAATACCAGCCCCAATCGAGGTCAACATGTGACGCATAAGGTGCATGGCCATGAATCGCCCTCTGAGGGTCAAAGGGAGGCTAGTCACGTGACTTCCACGTCCGGTCACAGGTGTCAAGCAATTCAAGTCGCGCGTATATGTCATAAACAGATTTAAATCTCAACAGGTAGATTAATTCTTGCCACTTGTCTCTTAGATGGCTATAAAGTCGGATTCTAATTAAAATTCTTGATGAAACGGAATAGAAAATGACATGCGCGTACTGTGATTATTTCAGACATGTTTCAAGCAATATACTTTTAGCAGATATTACTTATCACTATGGAAATATTATTACGTCTTTTAGCTTCCAATATTCGCTAAGTGTAAATGGCTCTATTTACAGGTTGTTGTTTTCACAACTGTAGCGTTCTCATTAGTAAGAAAAAGAAATAGATCAGCGGGCATTCACATCAGGCACCTATTTCAGAGATTTTGTTTTAAGGGGATTCATTGAGGAAAAACCACTGCAGTCTTTTCATCTGGTTAGAATAACAGACAGTAAAATGATTAATAAAAGAGAACGAATTGGTATCTTATATACTCCTGCAGACACAAATTACCAAATCATACAACCATTCAATCCAAATCCTCCCAAATCTGCAACTGAATGCCAATTTATGATATTACGTTGCTGGAGTATAAAAACTTCTTCGTCGTATGCCGATCACAAACGTCATGTTACGACGTAAATTGTAATAAAAAGGTAAATTGTAATACTTGCAGCAAATTGTAATAATTTTGACGTAAATATACCGGCCTAATCTTGCCTCAAGCTTGTATTTACGCGATGGGAAGATTTAACGTGCAATTTTTCATATTTAGAAGTTTCGTAAAGGTAGATAATTCGTTAGCAAGGAGGATTGTCGTTATAATGCTACGTGGCAAACCCACCCTTCTTGTTGCGAAATCGATATCAAAGAAATCCCGATGTGTTCAAAAAGGATACAACATTGCTACGAAAAAGTCATTGCAAATAGCTGTTCTCATTTGGGTTGTCATAAATCCCACTCCTTTACTAAAGCGTTGGAGAAGTCACAGAATGCATAGTCTCAATTTGACGAGCTGAGATACTCCGGGAAAGTTAACACAGATTTTCTTAACATACGCTTCGCTCCTCTGCCAGCGAGCACCAGGAAGGCTCCGCCGCGGTGACGTCACAGTCACGTGCTACGAGATATTGATCCGTGAGTGTAATGCTATGGTCGAGGCAGTTTGGCATAGGCCACTCACTGCGGATCATGTGAGGTTAAACTTTAGTGAAGTTATTTCCAGAGTGATTTAAATTTGTCTCTTAATTTTATGTGATCTATGGAACTAGACCAGTTAATGAAAATGTGATATTCTCAACGTGGAGAAAGCACTGTCAAAGTTCGGCAGGAACAGTCACAGGAACGGAGGAGTGTGAGTGTGTACCACATCGAAGGGATTGTGAACAGGAAGAATCTTCAGAATTTGGAGGTACATGTACTTTAAGACAATTTTGCTTCAATGACTGTTCACCTTAGTTTTCGAAATACCGAAAATCCTATACTTTACCCAAGCATAGAATAGCCTATTCTGATAATTTTTCGTTCTTCCTATTGATAATATTGTCACACTAATTTATTGAAATGTTCTCATACTGGACGAGTAAATGATACTGACATCTTCTAATTAGCTCGTATGCAACCGTATTTGTGAATTCGGAATTTTAAATTACCTTCCTGACATTCTAGTCTGCAAATTGGATTTCCCCAGAAAAAAAAGAAGCTTTTTGCTATCCAATTAAGTATTTTTTGTATATTGTAATTATTAATTTATTCGAAAGTCTACTGAAATAATTGTATTCTAACACAAATGTCTGCCCTGGAAATTCTATAAATGTCAGTTTGTAAAAACCAGTGTAGCTTACGTGTTTAACTCAATAGGTATAATCCACGGACATGACTAAACTGGGGTCAGTGTTGTCCTGAGATGAGTTTTCAACCATAAGTCTACAGTCTGAACATTTGACCATCATGAGAGAAGTGTACAGCCAGGAAAGCGTGGAATGACATTACTACGTCAAGCGTAACGTCCCCAATTGTCACTTGTATTCAATGTCTGATGATGATTGATGTGATAGACGAACAAGTGCAAGTTGTAAGTCACAGGAGACGGGTATCTGAAGACAGTGTTTCCAAGTGGTAGGACATTTAACTTTAAATTTGAATATGACGTTTTCAATATCTTTAACGTCTTCGCCATGACCACATAAGAGATCGTGAGCATCCTGGCTTTGTGGTACTTTTAAGCATGTTTTTCAAGATCTAAATCCCTGCTTGAAGGAAACGGTTATCTTAGTGCGATACTATGAGTTTCCTTACCAACACATCATTCCCTTACACGTTGTATAATCTGACGTTGACGGAGAGGAATATGACGCTTGAAGACGAGGCATATGATGTCCCTCCTGGTCTCATATTCCTCCTGGCTTTCTTATACGGCTCAATATCACTCCTTGCCGTCATCGGCAACGGCCTCGTCATCCTCGTCATTGTCAGGAACCGCCGAATGCACACCGTCACCAACATCTTCATCGCCAATCTCGCCGTAGCCGACGTCATCATTGGGCTGTTCAGCATTCCATTTCAATTTCAAGCGGCGTTGCTACAGCGTTGGGTTTTAGCCAACTTCATGTGCTCCCTTGCTCCGTTCGTGCAGATTATCTCGGTCAACGTCAGTATCATCACGCTCAGCGTCATCGCCGTCGACAGGTACATCGCGGTGCTTCATCCTTTCAAAGCCGGATGTTCCAAACGTTCTGCCGCCATCATTATTACAGCGATATGGTGGTTCGCCATCCTTTCTGGACTGCCTTGTGCATTGTTCTACAAGGTTGATAGGGATATGTGTCAGTTTGATTTCCCGCCACAGCTGAAAAACTTCCCGTTCTACTATAACTTATACATAATTCTTGTACAATACATGATGCCTCTTCTAGTGATTAGTGTTTGCTACTTCCGGATCGGATGTTATATTTGGGGAGCACGAGCGCCCGGAAATACCAACCCTACGGAAGACGTCCGCAGCAGAAACAAGAGAAAGGTAGGTGCACGTTTCTACTTTTACGTACACTTGCATCGAGCATTCTATCTTTCAGGATGTCAAGGTAGAACAAAACAGGTACACGCCACGGTTTACTTCAGGTAAAACAAACTATCGTCAATCATCCTATGATTGATAGTGTCCGGCTGCTGAATCAACTGAACTAAATGTTACACAAATATTATTTCCGACAGAATGGTCTCACTGATAGGCCTTCTCGTGCACTGAGGTGCGGGAATCTGCTTGTGTGATGTTCCTCAATCGCAGTAACGCTTTGTAATATATACTGTGAGCAAACACTGCTGTCAAGTACGAGATGATGTAATGAAACGCGATACAGCTCAGCAAGCTTCCCTCCTTCGGTTTCATTCTTCATATTAAAGTTGGAACATATGTTGATGCCGATGTATCTTTGGCAGTACTGTGAGTGTGTTCATCAATGGTTCTGTGTACGGGATTACGTTGATCGGAGTTTCTGTAAAGTTCTTACGCCAAATGATATTTAGTTATCAACTGTTTAATTTGTTGAGTACTGCCAAGGCTTGTATCTGATGATTACAAATGTTTCTGTATCTAAATACATTATTATCAACATTTAAGTAAACACAAACGCGGTAACTCTGTTTCTGAATACACTCAGTACTTACAGATGTTTTTCCCGTCTACACACACGACTTTGTTTGTGAATTCTGTATGTGCACTTGTGACTTTTTGACTGTGCTTTTGAAGCGATGATCACTTTTGTGAATACGGTTATTACTTTCATCCATCTTCAGTTCGCGCGAATATATAACGTATGCAGATCTCAACCACAAAATAGAAGTACATAGAGTAATGTTTTTCAGTATGCTACAGAACCCGTGAAGATCCGGGGTAGAATCGGTCTTTAGCAACCCATGCATGCCGTAAAAGGCGACTATACTTGTCGTAAAAGGCGACTATACTTGTTGTAAGAGGCGACTAACGGGATCGGGTCGTCAGGCTCGCTGACTTGGTTGATGCATGTCACCGGTCCCAATTGAGTGGATCGATGCTCATGATGTCAATCACTGGATTGTCTGGTCCAGACTCGATTATTTACAGACCGTCGTCATATAGCTGGAATATTGCTGAGTGCGGCGTTAAACAACAAACAAACAAACAAACTGTATGCTAACTGTATAATAACTCAGATCCTCTGTTTTATGGAAGTGCTCTCGAAATAATTTGAATTCAGATTAACAACCTTAGCTTTACTTCGAGATATGTTTTACCATGGACACAGACACAGTTCGAGACACACCCTCTGCTTAATGCCGCTTGTTGAACTAATTGAACTAAGTGGCTAAATGCCACTGAAAGAAGTTAAACAATTGTGTGCGTGTATTACTGGTTAAACAAGCGTCGTGCTGTTCGCGACCGGGACGCGAACATTTCGCGTCACGGTCGCGATAATTGGAATATTTGTATGGACTTGTAACAAACATTTCACGCCACAGTTTCGAAAACGCGTTTGCTTGTGTTGGACAGTATATTGTCGTTTGAACTGTTGTACGTGGGGTGTTACCTATGGCCCTCAACGTCCATATGTTCAGTGTGACACTTTGCATTGAACCCTAGATCAGTATCTCATGGAAAGGCAGAATAATCTCAAGGAAGCATCTGGCGCTGGCCCGTATGACACACCTCCAGCCACACACACACACACACACACACACACATATGTGCGTCCAGGTATAAGGTATGTTTGGAATGATTAGGATGTGCTTCGATAAATATTAAAATTGTGTACCCAACAAAGGCCAGCGAGTTATACAATGGGGCTTTATGGCGAGGCAACAGCTAATAACTCGTGTCATGTCACGTGTTGTGTGCGTTACGTCACGTTACGCGTCACGTCAAGGGTGTCTGTGGGTGAGAGAAAGAGAGAGTGACATACACAGAGAGACAAGGAGAGAGTGAAGTTCTGAGAGACTACACCAAAGCCCCTTTATGACAGTAGTTCACGATACTTAATAGTACAATAGATACCTTCTGCTGTCATCTCTTTGCGATAAGCACAACTCCCAGATAGATGTTCTACCCCAGATGTGTCGGCTGTCATCATCCAAAGTCAATTTGAAATAAGCCACATAAAGAAAGTTATATGATTCTTTTTCCACCTGAAGATAAGGGTTTGTAGATTAACAATATATTGCAGAAATACCGATCAACTCTTTTTGAAAAAGTGTTGATCTTGTAAACATAAAAACGTAAACGTATGAGAATAACCAGTCTAGATTATCCGCTGAAACAGATTCCATTTGGCGTCAAAGGCAAAAGTTCAATGAATGGACCACTGAAAGTCGATAATGACACCAGGTGTTCGCGAAAACACGTTCATTTAGCTATCATCCTGTTCCTAACAGCGTTAATAATCCCTAATCATAAGTCACGATGTTCCATTTAAACCTATAACGTTATCGAAATGAAACCTTTTAAAAATAGCAAGACTGATCGACTTTCGATTTACCCGTGTACACAGGTCACATGAGGTACCGTTATATTACAACCAGCTTGACTGAGGACTGTCGTTATATCCTGTCACGGGTGTTAATCAATAAACAGGCATGTCATTTTTGTGCTTTAGTATTGATTTATCAGTTTTGTCGATATAACACACCTTTCGTGATGTTACCCTTTTGTATCAATATTGACACGAGTACATTTAACCTGAAACCGCTGTTGATCACGTTTCCCGCTGTGATTCACATTTCCTTCATTATTTAAAAAAAAACGCTTTTAAAATTCATCCCATTGTTTAATAAACTCTCACATAACTCAATGCCGATACAGTCGTCTTAAGTAAAATATGAATTAGACTGATCAATCCAAGACTTTGTGTAATATGCTCTCCGTTTCTGGTGTGCATAAAACTTGACATGAATGTATGTAGATAATAACCCTAGGCCTATTTCTCCTTGCAAATAAACGAGTCATATTGGTAAATGAAATTCGCGATCTTCATCGAACCATTCCAAGTACAAAGAAGTCTGATACACTTCTAAGAAATCATTTGAAGAGTGAAATGCGTTTATTTCTTATCATTGACATAAGTCCAGAGTTACCAATCTACCAGAGCCATTAACTTTCTTCCTGTATTTATGTTGTAAGAAGGGACGCGTTCCAAGTCGGACTGGATTTCCCTGGCTCCTCAGGGACACGGATAGCAATCAAAGCAGCTTACTGCGAGAACCATAAACGCTGTCTCCACGGCAGTACTTGCAGAGGCCGGGGTTCCACTGACGGTCTCCAGTTTCTTTGGTATCATCCTGGTTCTGCCTCTGTTCATCACCCCTTCTCCGGGAGTGTTTGCTCTACGTTATCTAAGTTAATAGGTGCCTCCCGTGGCATGATTTGCAGCATTTAAGTCGATTACAGTTTTGTACGATTTGAATATATACTAGTATATTCATTCCAAATCGTACAAAACTAATCGACTTCCATGTTGTATATCAATTAAACGCATGAGAGATCTAGACAGAGAACATTGTGACGTCGTTGGACTTCACCCCGAATATCTAGTAAACACATGTTCTGTGGGTTCCTAGGGGTGATCGGTAGTCTTGTGGGTACAGCGTTCGCTCATAACGCCGAAGGTCCGGTTTCGATTCTCCATATTGGTACCATGTCTTAAGCCCATTCCTCGTGTCCCCTGTCATGATATGGCTGAAATGTCGCTATCGGTGACGTAAAGCCACACTCACTCACTCACTTTTTTACGAACAGCTAGGTTAGGCTGATGGCTACATGCTGATATTGTTCATCGTCGAGTTTAGATGGTAAGTGAGAGTCGTCAGGAGGAAGGTGTGCCAGGAGAAAATTTATATGTTCCCGAATATGATGGAAATAATCGCTGTCCTTTGTTAGATTTTTGAACTTTTCAATTGAGATGCCAAATGGTTTTAAGAAATACTGTATTGGATTACGAAAAATTCCTTTCACAATTCAGAGAAAGAATTTATTTTGAAGTATGTGTGGGGTGTGTGGTGTGTGTGTGTGTGTGTGGGGGGGGGGGGGGGGGGGGGGGGGGGGGGGGGGGGGGGGGGGGGGGGGGGGGGGGGGGGGGGGGGGGGGGGGGGGGGGGGGGGGGGGCTAAAAATACTATATTCTCTCTCAATCAAACCAGACTAATACATGTTCGGTCCCAAATATCGACGAGCGAGCACCTGCACCACTAGACAGTCACACCACCTCTGGTAACACCTGGTGAATAGTTGGATTTGACCGATACAAATAGCTCGGCAGAGATCGAGACAGCGTTGTAGAGATCTTGGTGGTTGGAATGTAATTTAGGAACGGATTATTTACCTATGTAGACAGGTTAAAATGTGACCAGATATGTAATACAGACAGGTTGATCGCGAGGCAGAGAGATAGGCGTCAATGTAAGTGTTTAACGCACTGTTACAGTCAAT